CCAGTGAGAGTATATGCACTGCACTAATCTCAGTTCCTCTATTCATTTTTTTTCCACACACTTGCAAAACTGTGGCATAATATTGCCAGTGTGGCAGCATGATTCCGATAGTCCTTTCTGTAAAGCAACAACTCAGTCAATGACAAATTAAACAAGAGCTATACATGTGGCTTGGACTGAGGTAATACACAGTATGCAAATGTTAATCATTACTAGGCCAAAGTTAAACATTATTTCTGTTAGCTGTATATCTTTTAGTAGGCAGAAATCTCTTTTGAAAGTCTGCCTTTGTTTTATTTTTCTTATAGGGATGCAGATGTATGAATGGTTCATGTTACAAGTGAAATTATACTGTGACCTATAATAATAGCCATTGCTATATTTTGTTATCAAATCAGTTTCCTACTAAATTTGAGAGCCAAGTCTGTCTGTAAAATCTACTGCAAGCTCCCAGATTTTGGCCCAGAATTTCCACTCTCCAGTGTTTTAAGATTTTTATTTTTCCAGGTCATCTGTTCTATGGAGAAAGAAGATACAGCCATCTGGGAGATTAGCATATATATTTCATGAAGCACAGTAGAGCTTTCTCTTTACTGACTCAGATGCTAAAGACCCAGATTTGCAGCCTGCTTCCCAGCTAGCACAGCACAGTTCATAAAGCTTCTGTTGCCAGTGGCTTATCTCTCTCCCTGCATGAAGAACAAACCTACACTAAAGTGATATTGTCGAAGCAGTACTGTCCTAAAGTGGGGGAAAAAAACACAGTCCAGTTTTACAGCCGTGTAGAGGCAATTTTTATTGACAGAAGGATCCATTTGTTAGTAAAGTTCACATTGTTTGAGTAGGAATTATCAGCAATTGAGCAAACAAATCCGGCTACTGGCATAAGATTCATCTCCAGAGCTGTGTATATGGCTGTATCTGTGGATATAAGCATGTAAGACAGCTGAGGTATACCTGCTGAAATGTATAAAAGCCAAATGAGAGCATTAGTGCTGGGTTAATTTAAGATGCACTATAAAATACTAGAGGATGTAAAAGGAATGAGCTGCAATAAGCAGATGTGCCAAGGGGCATCTCCTTAATCTTTTATGCTTGCTGTGCTGGTAGAGACGTGCTTTCATATAGTTGGAAGTACGGTGTGTTTCTAGTACTGCAGTGTAGCTGTTCTGTGCTGGTACTCTTTCTTTTTTTTCTGGACATTCATCTTCCTTTTGTGTATGGTTGTGGTTTTTTGTTTGTTTGTTTGGGGCTTTTTTGTTTTTGTGGGGGTTTTTGTTTGTTTGGGTTTTTTTGTACCATTCTGTTTTTTTCCCCTCACAGAGCGCAAATACTAGGAACCTAGACTGCCAACATTTTGATATCCAGTGTAGATTTATAACTATGGACATCCAAGTGGTAACACGTTATAGAACTGCTAAGTCCAGTGAAGAAAGAGGAAAGACGTCCATTGAAAGAAAGAGTACTAGTTTGATAGTCTGCACAAGCCTCTAGAAAAGTCAGGACAAGAGCTGAGATGATAATCCTAAATTTGTATTAATAATGGTATTGAATAAGCTGAGTACTTTCCATTGTTTCTTAAAATAAGAACTGGGGATAGATTGGTGTTTTTGTCTATCCTCTAATAATTTGTTGGTATTTTTAAAATGTAGATGCAAAAATGAGTCTGAATTAAAAGCTTTGGTCCAAAATTCCCAGTTTGGAGGAAGTTTGAACTACATTTAGAGTATCATCTGCATTTTGCAGATTAGACTCTTCTTTTGAAACATATTATAACAAAATTCATGTCCAAACTTTGAGAAGCACAGAGTGTGTATTCAAGTACAGATTTTAAGAGCTGGGAAAAAATACATTCTTATTAGAAAATGTACAAGAAAAAACCTTTCAATGTAACATTTGGGCTATATGTTCATCGGAAAGGCATGCACAATTTCAAAAATCTTTCTGTATCTTGCAAATGCTAAAATGTCATCTTTCAAAGACTGCATGCAGACAGTCTTTAATGTTCTTTTCTTTTACCTTTTGCCAGCTGCTGAAATATGAGCTTCATATTCACTGACTATTCTATTTACCTTGATGCTAAGAACAGTCTATCCAATCTGGCCAAATCTTTTCATTCAGAAACCAGCCTCTGACACAGCTGGTAAAAGACGCCAAGAGACGTCTGTGAGAGTGGGAAAATCCTATCATGGCTCTTCAGAGCATTTCCCTGGACACTCTCCCAGCTTTAGGCACTAGCTGCTCTGGGCTTCCTGAGCCAGTCACACCGTTTCTGTAGAAACAAACACATCATCAGAAAAAAAAAAAAAAGGGGGTGGGAGAAGCAAGATGTCTTTTGAAAAGCAAAGCTGTGTGCTTCGATATCAAGGCATTCCACAAGATGGCAGGGTTCTGTCTTGGCAGGTCACTACAGCAAGCAACCCAAGCCTCTCAGAAGTAATTTTTCTCCTATCATAGTTCTCACCATTGGTAATACAACTCTCTACTTTAAACCTAGCAGTGCTCTATCAAAGCGGTGATCAAAATTGGTGGGAAACAGGTGAAAGACAGGAGGCCTCTATTTTCTTATGTTCTCAAATTTTGTATTACAACAATTAATGCACAATATTCACATAAAGCGTAATAACTTCCCACAGTGTGAAATAAAGAAATTTTTTTTTCCTAAATAAAATTGGACAGAAAAGTATTACATGCAACTGCAGCTGTTGAACTAGGGACATTAACATCAGTCCTTCACATGCCATCTCAGTCATCTATTATTTAAACTCTCAAAATTATGAATACAGCTATTTGTTATCATATTGTTATCATATCTTGTCTTCATGATCAAGACAAGGTAACCTAACTATGGGATGTTGCTGAAAGACCCAGGTGTGCTGTCCCTTTCACCTGTCCCGCTTCCTTGTGCTGGCTTTAATGACTGTGCATACAGTCCTAACGCGAGTCATATCAACCTAAAAAGCTGATTGTAAACTAGCTGGTTTTACTCGGAGGCTTAGCTTTCAGCTAGATAAATGGTCTGAAATGACTCCACGGCCACGCAGTCACTACTGCTGCAATCAGTAAAGCAGGTCAAGCATGTGATGAGGGGCAAGAAAGTCCCTTTCAGCAACAGAGCAGTACTGGATAGGCCTATGCTAATTGTGAAAACACACTCTTAAATAACAAAGGAATAGTGGAGAGGATGCTTCCTCTGTTCTGCCCCCACTGACAAGAGGCAATGGAGGTAGAGGTGAAAATCTAATGCTCAGTTCTTAGTTATTCAATTGAAAACTAGTGCTGCAGCAGCATCTTGCATGTGTCACAGTGAAATTTTAGTTCCAATCGCAACTAGATATATTTATATAGATATTTATATATTAATATGCCAGCTCTTTCTAGGCAAGGTATTTTTGGTTTCTGTGAGAAAGAAGTTTGTAAAAAAAAAGAGAGAAACTAGAATAATTTTAGTTGCCTATAGGGTTCTTTGCAATACTTGTTACTAGGTTTCAGTTGAGTGGGGGAGTATTCCCAGAAAACAGGCAAGTAAATTCAAACATTTTACAAACACTGATAAGGATTTTGAATGACCTCAGAGCATGTTACACTTAAGCCTAAACCCTGGTGCTTCCTAAAACAGCAGCAGCATAGTGCTAACACCAGGATAGATAAATAAACAAAACCACAATGCACAAAATTAAAGAATTATTAGCAGTTACTCTGTACATAAACCAAAACAGAGGCATCACTAAGGAATAAATTTTTTTTTAAAAAAATTCATCTTGCAGAGAAGAATTGTATAATTGCATTTACTAAATTCTAAAGAGTAACTAAGCCCAAGATAAACGGCAAGACATCAGGTGTGGTCAAGATACCCGGGGTTCTCATTAGGCATCAGCGGGCTTTGTTATGATGAAGCATGAACAGGGACTTTTCAATTCCAGTTTTACCACTGAAAATCAAATGAGGATTTTTAAAGAAAACTGGAGTGAAATAGAAAGAAAATCTCCCTATTAGACCATCAAGTGCAAACAGATTCCATTTGCAAGGTTTGGCTTCTCAAACCTTGGTAACAGGGAGGAGGAATTTGGATTTTCAGGACCAAGAAGCTACATGCTGATTTCAAGAGTGAGAAATAGATTGTTTATTTTTAACAAAGGCAAGGATGCACTCAGGTTAACCTCGTGCTGAAACCTCTTGACACCTGTGCTTAAGCACAGACTGAGCACGGAGGACCATGGAATAACTGAACACAAATACTTTGATTTGGTTTCTGGCCCAAGCCCGTGCCCCAGGCGGCTACACCGGAGCAGTGACACTACCCTGAGTGCAGGGGGACACCCATTTTGGGGAGGGTGGCGCTGCTGCCCTCAGGTGTGCGCCGCCACAGCTCGGCAGGGGGCGCCCACCCCCCTCCGCCCTCCGGTCGCCGGCTGGAGAGGTCGCCCCGCCCACCTCCGACCCCGGACCGTGTCATGCCCCTTTCCCCAGCCAATGAGAAGAGTCGACGAAGGCGGAGCTCGGAGCGCGAGGCCAATGGAAAGCGAGCGCTGACCAGGCGGGGGCCAATCGAGAGGACACCGGTGAGTGCGCGACTCCGAGGCCGGCCAGGGAGGGGGCGTGGCCAGGAGGGCGCGGGCCCTCAATCAGGTGAGGGCGGCGCTGACGGGCGGCGGCGGCGGCCAATGGCGGCGCGGGGGCGGGGCCGCCCTACCCTCCGCCGCTGCCGCCGAAGCTGCCAGAGAGTCAGGTGGCTCCGGGATGCGCGGCGGCGGGAGGCGGAGGCGGGCGCGGAGGAGGCGGCGGATGGGGGGGATGCGGCGGCTCCTTCACGGCACACACTTCCTGCTCTCCCCCCTGCCCGCGCTGGGCTGAGGCGGCCCCGCGCCGGGATCCCCCGGCAGCGGCACCTGGTGCCGGCGGGCGCCGGGCCGCATGAACAATAGGCGGCGGTCCCGGCCCCGCCGTCCCCCGCAGTGCCCGACTGCCTCGGGCGCCTCCCCCTATGGAGCAGCCTCGCCATGGAGCCCCTCACCGAGCTCAGCCAGGAGGGCGCGGGCGGCGGGGAGCCGCCGGGCGGCGGGCCGCTCTGGACCGCCGTCTTCGAGTACGAGGCGTGCGGCGAGGACGAGCTGAGCCTGCGGCCGGGGGACGTGGTGCAGGTGCTGTCCCGGGACTCGCACGTGTCCGGCGACGAGGGCTGGTGGACGGGCAAGATCGACCAGCGCGTCGGCATCTTCCCCAGCAACTACGTGAGCAGCGGCGTGCCGGGAGGCGGCCCGGAGCTGCGCGCCCGATACCCGCCGCCCCCCGCCATACAGCGTAAGGGGGCCCGGGCCGGGGCGGGGGGCTCGGCGGGGCTCCTCCGCCGGGACGAAGGGAGCCGGAGGAGGGGGAAGAGGCGCGGTCACGACCCTCCCCTGGGCCAGAGGGAGCTGGGTCACCGGGGGAGGGGAGACCGGACCGGCGGGGCTACCGAGGTGGGGCGGGGGGAGCCGAGGCCCGGCCCTCCCGCGGTGCCTGGGGGAGGCGGGACCGCCGCCGACGCGGGGGGAGGCCCGGGCCGGCCCTGCGGTGGGTCCTGGCGGGAGCCGGGTCCGCCTTGGAAGGGGAAGGGAAGGCCCCTCCCGGTGGCGAACGGCCATGGGAGGCCGCGGGCCCGGCCGGCGGCGGCGTGGCTGGGGCGAACGGGCCCTGCCATGGCCCTTGGCGGGGAGCAGAGAGGCTGCGGCGTCTCGGCCCCTCCCGTCCTGGGGCTGCCCCGGGACCTCGGTCCGTTCCCTTTCCCACCCGGGGACGCATTCCTGCTGCACCAGTGCCCTTCTGTCTTCCAGGCTAGCGCGCCGCTCCAGGGAGGCCGAGCCTCGCTTGGTTGGCGTTTCACCGGCGCCAGGAGCAGTTTCCCATTGTTAAGTCATGTGTTTCCAGAGGCTGATAAATTTTCATCAAACGACTGAAGCCTGGCGGCTGTGCAGTGGTGGAGTCACTGGGGCTTCTGGTGACTCTCCCATTAAGAATATCCTTAAGGAGGGGTTGCTAGATAGGAAGCAGTGTTGATTCACTGCTAATACTTGTTCAGTATCTTCCTTCCTCCTAACCAAAAGCTTATTATTTCTGACTGAAAAATTCCTAAGTTGACTTGTGTTACCAGGTTCCTCTGACCTCGTAGAAATTTTGTCCTAAAATACCTGTGAACGAGTTCTATCTGCTTTTGGGTGGCAAGGCCTGCCTGAGGATTGCTTGAGTAAGTTGTGATGCTGAAGGCATGAAGGGATTGGTTTGTTTCTGTGAACTTCATGGCAGTTTTGAAGCCTTTGTTAGAGACAGAGAATAGGGCCGTTTCATCTCTACATTTTTTTTTAGCTGCTACATACAATTGTGGAAAGAGAAACAGCATGGGATGACTGTTTCTGGATCCTGTTCATCTATCACTGTTGACAATTCAGGCAAGGATAATGCTTTTTTTTGGAGGGGCAGAGAAAAATCTTCAGACTAGTAGGCTTTTCTAGAAAGTAAAAGAGATGCTTTGTCCTATGTAGGTCGTATCTCCAAGGAATACAACTAATAGCTTTTTTTTTTTTCTTATTCTGTGTTCTGCTTGGAAGTATTTAGGTAAAACTCAGTAATTTCTAGCATTGCCCTTGGGCTTGTGAAGGGACTAGGTTGGTAGTGGTGGTCCTTTCTTTCATGCTGCTACAGTATAGATAAATTATTTTTCCCCCACATGCAGAAAACATTGTGAATTAATCTTATTAGGTTTTGCCTTTGAGATAGTTAGGAGAACCATTTCTACAGAACTCTTTGAACCCTCAACTCCCATCCTATTTTGAGAGTTCAGGTGCAGGGTTTGTAGCTGTGGATTCTCCTGTCTTGCTGCATTTTCTGTGGTTTGATAGTTCAGGAGCAGTTGTGGAGTTGTATCTTTCCCCTTTACCCTTGTCTTTCATGCCACCACAGGGCTACACTACTTCTCTTCTGTCAAGTTATTAGCCTTTATGATGATCATCATCTGTTCATGACAGAAGAGAACTCACTGCCCTCCAATAGATGTGTATAATGCCTAAGGAGTACGTTTCTTTCTTAAAAGAAACAATGCCATTTGGACAGTCTTGTTAAAGTTGGCTGCTGTTGAATTGGATTTTCAAGTTTAATGTTAGAAATCCTTTGCAAGGAATGATATCCCCTTTTAGAGCTGGTGATGTTAGTTTGCTAGCTGTTGGGAATAACAGTCTATTCTTACTGGACAGTGAACTGTTAACGCTTTGCAGGAGTGATGCAAAGTGTCATTCCAGACACACACCTGTGCACAGAAACTATTTTTACTTGCTTTCCTAAAGTTTATCTTTGTGTTTAATGATGGGCTAGGAGTATAAGTCCTTTAGATTCTGCTTTCACTGAGAGGTGTACTAGTATAGCTGGTAATTTTAGCCATCCCATTAGTGTGCCAGAATCTTGCTTCAGAGAATACCATGAATGATAAAAGTAGCCTGTAGAGGCCTTCAGAAGTGGACCAACTTGAAGGACCCTCATCTGCAGTGTGGGCTCTTAACACACTTCAAAATGAATTAAATAGCTTCATCATATGGTATTGTAAGTGCTGATTAAAAAGCACCTGCTTTGCAGTTGTCAACATGGCCACTGGTTCATGGTGTACAGGCTCTGTAATTCCTTATCAGTCCCTGGAGGAATGATAGTGCTTCATTTCTTAAATTCTGAGGCAAAAATGCCCCTTAAACATTCCCATTACCTGTACAGTCCAGTACAACACATCTGCCAAATTATACTGGAGTTTAGAGATGGGGTTAGTGTTTTTAGTGCCCTAATGTAGCGGTATAACTCAGTCTGTGAAAACAAAGAAGCTAATTCAGCACAAAATAGCTTTAAAAAACCCCCTCGAAATATTTTTTTAAATGAGGGATTTTTCTGATGAAGCTACCCCTGAGGGTGAGCTGGCCAGTCTGCCTTACGGAAACATACATTTTACTTGCAAGTAAAATAAATAACATTCAATGTCATAAGAAATTTCATCCGGAAGCCGAAGTCTCTCTGTTTTACATCCTAGCCCTGTTAACTTGTGCATCCAGCAGGGATGTGCTTTTTCTGACGGAAAATGGGTGACGGCACACAAAGACTTCTACTTTCCATCCCTTCGGTTTCCTTTGCCCATCTCGTTCTCCTGCCTGACACCTTCCTGCCGCGCTTCTCCCCTGCACGGCCGCGGGGCGGGGGGGCCGGGGCGGGGCTCTGCCCGCGGGGCCGTCCCGCGTCCCGTCCCGTCCCTCCGCCCCGCCGGCACCGCTGCCGCCGGAGCTGTCCCTTCAGCACCTGCAGGACGGCTTTCTCGCCGCCTCGTTCGTGCCCTCTCAGTGCCTGAAATGCCCGAGAAGAACACAGACTGGGAACAGCACCGGAATGCTGTGTGTCCGGAGGTTGCGGGGCGGGCAGTGGCCCGGTGCTGTGGCTTACGTGTTTGTTCATTCAGTCTTTTAACTGAGCTTGTCCCTAGGAGCCGGTTAACTGAGGATTATAACAGTGCTGAAATTCTACTGACTGAAGAGATAGGACTCAACATCTGATTTCTTTAGCTCTTTTATTAGGGAAAAATACAAGAGCAGCTCCTTTTGTGTAGTCTCAGTGACATCCTCAGTCTCGTATGTGGAGTTATTGTCATTACAGCCTTGTTCTAAAATTTCAGTGTTTCAGGTCAGAATGTACTTCATATTTTCTGGTAATCTCTATCTCATGAGCACCAAGGCTGGCAGGAGTGAAATCTTCTTTGTTTTGCAAATCCTTGAAGGTCATTGTTACCCAAAATATGTACTCAGAGTAGCAGAAAAAGAAATTATTTTTGTGTCCTGGACTGGAAGGGACCTTTTCTCCTTTTGGAAAACTTTCCTGGCCAGTTCTCTATCTTGTTTCCCATTAATCTTTTGTTCATGGAACACTAGGAAAAGGATCACAGGTATCCTTATTAAACTAGTTTATAGATTTGACTGACTTACAATAGTAAGTTAGACTTTGAAAAATCATATTCGGGAAAGACAGAGCTCAGGCAAAAATAGAAAAAAAGCCTACAGCTTTGGACAGAAGAGTTTGTGCTAATTCCATGCAGTTTTGTGACAAAGTCTTGTATTTTTAGGAAAGACATTTGATTGGAATAAGGAAAATAGTTTACTTTAATGTGATCTAGCTTGCTCCCTTACAGGCTTAATTTCCTTTCAACTAAACAAAACAGGGGAACCATGTCAGATTTGGCATTTCAAATGCAGGAAAGTATTAAAAGTCTTGATGACTTTCTGCTTAAATCTTGCATTATGGTATTCTTCCTTTAAAACTTTTTAACATTTCGTTGACTGTAATTGGTAATCAGCCAAATATCAGACAGAATAGGATCAATGGTATCTCTCCAATGGCCTACCACTGCTGTAAATTCAGGTGTGTCAACATGTTTTCATTGGTCAGTATGGGGGGTTTTCATTCTACATTAATCAGTATTGGATGGGTTCTTTTGGCCACCCATGAGTATAAGCTGTGTTTAGTGTGCATTTGTACAGGATGCATTTTCTCACTGCTTTTGCTCCAGATGCAATTTACATGTTGAATTAAGACATCTGCATCTGTAGATTTTTCCTATACAATGCCAAGTATCCACCAGTAACTCTGTCAGCCTGTAAAGTGTAGCTGTGAGTGCATGGGAATGGGAAGTTTCTGTAATAAGAAGCAGTGTGCAGTAATCAAAAAATGTTTTTCTTATTGCTAGCACTGCATACTCAGTGTGCGGTCTGATCCATCTGTCTGTCACACTGTTGTCAGAAGCGTCAGAATTGGTTAACAGATCTCTTGTGGGGAATGAATCTGCAGAGCCTACAGAGATGTGGAAGAACAAGCTTGATTTGGGAAGGACTAAATGATTGTTGTGGCAATTCAAATAAAGAACAAATGCAGAAGCAGATGCATTTTGTGTTGAGTTTTAGATATCTCACATTAAGCACTGTATTGTGAACACAGCAAAGATTAGTTTGTGTGTTTTTCTTTTTTGAAATCTTGTACTGTCAAGGCGAGTTTATCTGTAAGTGGTGGGAAGGGGCATCAGTGTTATAAGAGTTTAAGTGTGGTAAGAGGACATAAAACCTTCATACAGGTTTTATGATACTGCAAGATCTATTTTATCACACTATTTGGCACTAAAAGATTATTGGAAGGGACTATTGCTTTTGTTTGTATTGTTTTGGCATGAAAATTGGCCCTTCCTCCAGGGGTAAGGGTGAGGTTGGGCAACATGGACCTTCAGTTGATGTACAAGCTGCATAGATGCTAAATATTTACATCTTTTTTTTCCTCTTTCCCTAGTCCTGGAGATCGACTTCTCAGAGCTTGTTCTGGAGGAAATCATTGGCATAGGGGGCTTCGGAAAAGTGTATCGAGCTGTGTGGATAGGAGATGAGGTTGCTGTCAAGGCAGCTCGCTATGACCCTGATGAGGACATCAGTCAGACCATAGAGAATGTCCGCCAAGAGGCCAAGCTCTTTGCGATGTTAAAACATCCCAACATCATTGCCCTCAGGGGCGTGTGTTTAAAGGAACCTAATCTTTGCTTGATCATGGAGTTTGCCCGTGGAGGATCGCTAAATAGAGTGTTGTCTGGGAAAAGGATACCTCCTGACATACTAGTGAACTGGGCAGTACAGATTGCGAGGGGAATGAACTACCTGCACGAGGAAGCGATTGTTCCCATAATTCACCGTGACCTGAAGTCCAGCAACAGTAAGTGTTACACAGTGAACAGTCAGGGTGCTGGGGTATGCTTTTGAGAAGAAATCATACAAAGAAAAAAGGGGAGTAATGTTAACTTAGTGATCCTTTCTTGTGAACCACTGTATCCTCTAATTTAATCCCAGAGGGGTTTTATTTTTATACAGTATGGTGCCACAGACTGCAGGAAACCTGTGAATGCTTTCATTTTGTAGAAGCAACTTAACTGATTGGATACAAAAGCAATTGTAAATGAAGCGTGCTTCTCTAGTAGTTAATATACATACATAAATAGTGTCTGTTTTATTGGCATTTCAGCAGACTTCTGTATGTTGGAAGGTCTTACTGAACTTAAAATGTATATTCTCCTTCCACTTTTTGGAAGGATAAATACTCCTTTGTTAAGATAAATGCTCCCAAACTTTCGTTTACTTGCTAGATTTTGCTGTATAGGTGAGATGCAAACCTGTTTTCCTTATGGGAGATTTAACCCATCCCAGCTGAATTGGGTCTTCTCTTTATCCATCATAGAGCTGGTGTTGACAGAAACATTAACTTGCGTAAATAAAGTGTCCTTCTACATCCAGGATTTCAGCTGATGTTTGTGATGCTTTACATGGGATGCAGCTGACCCATTATAGAACATGGGGATTGAACTTTGGCAGTTAGGATTGTGGAAATCGCGGTGATTTTAGCTACTCTGTAATACCAACAGCATTACTATCTGCCAGTTGGGTATTGCTCTGATAGTGTGTCTCTTTTCACAAACTTAAAATTGCCTTGAATTCAAACACACACATAGAACATTATGAGTGTGGGAGCAAATTATTGCAGTACTTTAAAGGTCATAATTTCCTTTCCTGATGCCTTATGCATCTGATTAGCCTTTTTCTCTGCTTGGCTATGTCTAGATGGCAAGAGCAAACACATAGTTGTGTGTTAGCTGTGGTGGTTTAGGTTGGTGTGTTAGTATGAACTCCTTTTCATTTATGACTTGAGTTAAAAAGGAGCACTGTGAACTGGGTGGCTGGGATGCAGGCATATGTTCCCTTTTGCTTTGAGGGCAGTGACATTAGCAAAGAGATCTGACAGATGGGAATTTTAATATCTTAAATAGATTCAAATGAGCTAGCATTAACTATTAAAATGCTGTAAATTTCCAGGCCTTGCAGAATCTTCCTATTTTTTTTTGCCTCAAATGTTGTGCCAATTAATTTATATGGTTTGTTGTGAAGGTGTAAAAAAAGTATTATTAGTTCTTGTTAGTGAGTTTGCAGATAGGAACTATGAGAGCTTTCAAATTAGTTTCTACAATATTTTTCTTACACTATTAAAGTTTCCTTTTTTGTTAGAGTAAGGCAATCTTAATGTCTATAAAGATGCCCTAATATTTAAACCCTCCCCTTATAGATGGTAGTATATATGGGCATGTTGATAAATGCTGTAAAATTAAGGAATGATTTGCTTAGTGGATTACTGGCTGCATCTGTGAATAAGAAATAATTGTCTTTAAGTGTCGTGCCTTTCCTCTTTACCAAAGAAAATATTTACTTGCTTATTTTGCTCACAGGCCATTAAGACTTTATTGCTTAGTGCTAGCTGAACAGTTTTGAGGTTTAGAATGACAGTTATTTCTGAGATGAAAAACTGCTAGCTAATGGTATTTCACTGTTTTATTTGGACCAGAGACTGCTACCTGTTAAACATATCAACAAGAGAACCAGCCCAACTAGAGAGACACCAGTGCACAATGTTGCCAACCAAACAGATATGGATGCTAGAAAACATCTGTGCTGTCAGCAGCAAGAGTAAATGTCTCTTGTCACAGTGAATCAGCAGAGCATAATTGTGCTGCACCGTAAATTGTCAGTGAGAAGTTGAGGGGTTTGCTACATGTATTGCTATAATTTCCCTCATTTGGGAGGAAGCAATAATAAAGAAAGAGGAAGAAGGAGTGGGATTGCCTATGGGAGGATTCAGAGATGTCCTATGTTTGTAGGGGAAAGGTGGTCTTGACCAAAGATAGCACCAAATCTAGTACAGAAATAATGGGTATATGGAAAATTCTATCCCAGCTAAGTCTAGAGCAAGCAGCATTACATTTGGGAAGGTAAACAAATGTAGGAGCTAATACTGGAGGGAAGGACTTGAGATATTTTAAGGAAAATTGATTGTTTTGTTTCTCTCTTTTGGAATAAGATGAATTAGTAACCTTGGGTACGGGCTTGAGACATTACAACAGCTGTTTATTTTATTAAACAATATGGAGTTCCTCATTCTGGGCTGTGTGGTGGAAGGGATGTTTTAAAAAATATATGTTCTTTTTAGAGTGAATCTATAGAGCAAGTATCATAAATATTAGATTATGACAATGGTGGAGCTTTTTTACGGGGATAGGGGACTGTAGGCCCAAGTCATGTCTTTCTTGATTATTCTGTCACTGCATTGCTGAAATCCCTTTTCCATTATATGTAATAAGCATCTTGGGAATTTCTCTGTTCTGTGTTCTGTGGAAAGCTTTTTATTAGTTTCGTAAAGATTACTGGGCTAAGTATGTTATTGCATCCTGACTTATATATAGCTTGCATTTTCTCTTATTTTTCTGATGTACTTAGTTTTCTCAATTACTGTGGGTAATCAAGAACAGGTTTTCTCCTTAGCTTTGTGCCTGCAGAATTACACGGATGTAGCATTTCCTTTGTGCAAATTACCACCCACCTACTGATAGGCAGTAATGTCTCTCTGGTGAGGGAACAGCTTCTGCTTGCAAGAACTTGGAAATGATTCTTGCAGACACATTTCTTACAATGTACTAAACATCTATAAGAACTGTAGAGCTTTCATGGGAGCATCAACTGTATTGATCTACTGGTTGGTAGTGCCTATGTTGAATAATAGTGATTCTCATACACTCATCTTGCACCAGCTGGGACGTACACTATGCACCTGAAGCTGCAGGATGAGTTAGTTTGGGAGTTAGGGAACAACGTGGAGGAGTGCGAAAGAATAGAGTTGCCTTATTCAAAATCAAGTCTTCTCCTGGAATAGAAGAAAATCGGAGAATGCCTTGTTTTCAGATGTCTGCCTATATTTCAGCAGATAGAGAATGCATCAGGACAGTGCTTCATGATGAATCTTTTAAGGTCACATTACATTTTGAGCAGTAATGTGTCAAGTGGGCACATTAATACAAGTCTGAGAAATTACCCAATTATATAAGGATTTGAAAAAAAAAATCCTATTTAATTTAAACTATTGCCGCTTTGTGGACTCAAATAGTACGTACCAAAATAATAGTTGTCAGCGTTTCTGGTGGTGCAAATAAAGAACATAGGATTTTGATTACTCTGGGAGGTAACTTCATCTTATGCGGGGACTGAACTTAAGGGGATTATTTGGCGATTCCAGAAGGTGTCTATTTCTTGAGATTCTCCTTGTCAAAAAGCATGCCGACCCAAGTTGTCCACCTTTTTTGGTTAAAAGAAGGAAATTTTTTCTTAATTTTTTTTCTTCTTTTAATTTTCATAACTTTACATTTAATGCTAATACATTTAGAGTGTAGGAAAGGTGCCCTGTAAGTTTACTACCGTGTTTGTTTGAGGCAGATTTATTGTAAATCTTGGAGGTTCTGAGGGCTGCCTGTTGCACTGCTTTGGGGGTGCTAGCAGGAAATGAGTACATAATGGTCCTTACAGAATAAATTGCACACCTGTGATTTATTTTTAGAGTCCCTGAAATTATTTTGTTGAGTGTCAGTTCAGTTGGCAGTGAGTCTAGTAGGCAAGTGTTCCAGTGACCTTACCAGCAGTCATATAAACTACACAAGAGAAGGAAGATAATTTAGGAAAGCTGTTTGGTTCTGCTGTGTGAGGAGATAAGTATTTCTCTTATTTTGGCATTTGATATAAGGGATTCAATTTATTCTATATGAAATTTAATCTTATTAATCTGACAGAGTCCTCACTGGCTGCTTCTCCTTTCTTCATCTGGTGATATTGCCAACCTCTCCTTCTTTAGCTGCGTGTTGGTGAGCCATTGAGTGTATGTTACAGAATTGGTAGTAGGTTTTTCCAGTGTGAAGGCACCTAAATAATCTAAATGCTGAGCTATAGAAAAAAAGCAACTGAAAATGCCCAGTGAAGTCAACATCACTGTGTTTAGCACAGCACTGAAGAGTTTCCCTTCCTTTTATCTCTTACCTGTGATTCAAGTCTCATTTCTGGCCAGAGGAAGGTACTTGGCATATAATGCTTAGGATGAAAAAGGACAGTCCTGTTGGTTTGAGTGAAGTATTGTAAATAACGAAGCTAGTCCTGTTTGTTTCTGTTTGTCTGTCAATGTTAGATATGCCAGTGTTGCTATAGGGCTAATGCCAGTTAACTAATACTGCAGAGCACTAGCAAAAGCGTATTTGCTCCTTTTTTTTGACTGTCTCAGCAAAACATGTTTGTTATTTACACTACACTGAAACATTTTGCTGAGGATGTCCATGCCAGTTAGCAAAGTGCTTTTTAAAAGTCACTATGGTTGTGTTCCACAAAGTGGCACAGAAGATAAGCAGCAAAGTGGCATGGCCAAGGTCAAAGAAAGAGGTAAGGACAGAGCTCAAAATAAACCCCAACAATTCTGAATCAGCCAAGTCAGTAGTTCTTCCCTTCTAGTTCTTTGAAGTCTTCACCGCTCCTACTTCTGGACCACTAAGGTAAGCTTGCAATATCCTGCTCTTCCAAGCTCTGACTTTCTCAAGAATTCCAAACCCTCCTATAGCTTTGCGTATTTAATGTAGTTAAGCCTTTTTCTGTTCATAAAGATGCCAGTAGAGCTGACTTTCACATGGATAGTTGTTCCTAGAACTTACAATTTTCCTTGGAGTTTTTTTGGTTTGTGGGGTTTTTTTCAAAGTATAGACAGATTTTAGACACAACTAGTTCAAATCCAGCTCAAGGACAGCAGGACTTCAGTGTTACATGTTGGTAACATTGGATTTGTTATCTCATTCCTTGTTTCAGTGT